TTTTCGTGTCGTGTCTCCCTTTGCTTTTGCCTCCATCCACACACCCCGCAGACACAGCCCTGCATTAGCCCCGGGAATCAGACTTTTCTTCTTCTTCTTTTTTTTTTTGCTTAGACCCAGGAATCAGACTATTCTTTTTTATTTATTTATTTATTTTCTTAGTCCCAGGAATCAGACTTTTTTTCTTCCTTTTTTTTTTTGCTTACACTCAGAAATCAAACTTTTCTTCTTTTTTTTTCTTCTTTTTTTTTTTTTTGCTTAGACCCAGAAATCAGACTTTTTTTTTCTTTTTTCTTTTGCTTAGACCCAGAAATCAAACTTTTCTTCTTCTTCTTTTTTCTTCCTTTTTTTTTTGCTTAGACCCAGAAATCAAACTTTTCTTCTTCTTCTTTTTTCTTCCTTTTTTTTTGCTTAGACCCAGAATTCAGACTTTTTTTTTCTTTTTTCTTTTGCTTAAACCCAGGAATCAAACTTTTCTTCTTGTCTTTGTTTGCTTAGACCCAGGCATCAGACTATTGTTTTTTACTTTTTTTTTCTTAGTCCCAGGAATCAGACTTTTTTTCTTCTTTTTTTTGCTTTGAGCCAGAAATCAAACTTTTCTTCTTTTCTTTGTTTGCTTAGAGCCAGGAATCAGACTTTTCTTCTTTTTTTTTTTTTTGCTCAGCTGTGTTATGCCCTTCCTTTCCCTTCGACAACTGCCTGGCGGCGGGTGGATCAGGCTATACTCCCGCTATTTCTTCTATTTTCCTCTTAACTCATCCGCTGCTTGCCACTGTCAGAGACTGGCTCCTGGGCTGGACAGACCTTTGGTCCATCTCAGCATGGCAGTTAGGTTTCTTCCCTTCCATCTGCTAGTCTGAATACCAGGGACATTTTCTTTTTAAAGGGGAGAAAAAAAAGGGAGGGAGGTGATCACAGGCTAGTGCATCTTTTAGTGTCCTTCCAAACTGCTGCCGGCCCCGATGCCATAACTGGAGATGTCCGCTCCAGGCCCTGCGCCCGTCTTCATAGGGCTTTGAGCCACTCTTGGTCTCCTTGGCTCATGGAAATAACGCTCCGTGTCTTGGAAATGTTTGCAGAAGCAGAATCGACAGCAAAGAGGCCCCGCACCACCATTACGGCCAAACAGCTGGAAACCCTGAAAAATGCATACAACAATTCCCCCAAGCCAGCAAGGCACGTGAGAGAGCAGCTGTCCTCAGAGACTGGCCTGGACATGAGAGTCGTGCAGGTGAGACAAGGGATGGTGGTGCCTTCTCCCCCCGCTGGGCTTTCATCTGGTGACAGGGTAGCCCAGATGCACCCAAACAGGGCCCTTTGCACCCACCCATTGCAGAATCCCCCAAAGTCCTTTAACATCATTAGCTTTATATATTTATGGGCTCTTACATGCCATTTGGACTCAATGAGGTTGAACCAAGAAGTCTTCCACGATTAATTCCCGCTGCCGCAATTCCTCTGCTCGAGCACTGATAGCTGGCCGTCCCTGAATTATTTTTTTCCTGAATGTTTTTGGAATAATTTTTCAAAGCCTCTCTCCCCAGACTATCCCCATGGACTTCACCGAGAGCCTGTAGTGGCTACACACAATCACTGATTTATCATAAGATCCTCTTTGTTCAAGTGGGTTGCAACACTTTCATTTTTTTTTCCAGTCATCGTTTTAAATTTTGATGAAGCGGGGGAATCACTGTCTTGTTGGTTTTGCCCTCACTTTCCTTTTTCCTTAAAAAAAAAAAAAAATCCAAAGCAGGTTGAAATTATTTTCATGTTCAACATTTTAATAAAATTCATTGCCACGTTGAGTTTTGGCACTAAATATAACCCTGAAGGAATTTAAATGGTACCTTCACACTTTGTATCATTGCAGTTCAGCTCTTACAAGTGTCTTCCCTAGTCCAAGGCTCTAAACTCATGATTTCCCGTGCATGTTCAGACCCCCGTTGACTTCCATCATTGGGGCAGTGGTGAACTGCTTGAAACGCAGGTTAGGTTTTTTTATTAGGGGAATTAAGTGTCTTTCTACTGAAAAAAAAAAAGAGGTGTCATTAAAAAAAACAAAACCAAACAAACACCTGGGTGCAAAGAAATGCATTTGGCAAAAAATATTCATGTTCACATCAAGACAAGGGAAGCCAACATTTTCTTTGGAAAATTAAAAACTGCTCTGGTTATTTCTTCCCTTTGCTTTGCTTTGTTGGGCAGGTGTGGTTCCAGAACAGACGGGCCAAGGAAAAAAGGCTAAAGAAAGATGCGGGGAGGCAGCGGTGGGGGCAGTACTTCAGGAATATGAAACGGTCCCGAGGGAGCTCCAAGTCTGACAAGGACAGCATTCAGGAGGAAGGGCCGGACAGCGATGCCGAGGTGTCCTTTACAGGTAAGAGGAAAGCGATTCCAGCGCGTATCTGGGGTGACACTTGCTGCAGAGATCACACCAGGGCAGAATTCAAGGCTGGAGGGAAATTGAAGTTGCTTGGTCTCGTGGTGACCCTGCGAGCGGGGGTCACTCATCATCACCCGGCTGCCGTTTTCACGCGCTTCTTCCGAGCAGTGTTTTTCATTGCACGTTTCTTTAATTCTTTCCATGCCATTTACCCGCTAAGCACTTCCTGACCCAGCAGAGTCAAAGAAAGCAAATGTCTGATGCAGGTAAATCAAACTGGGAACAAAAATGCAAATGCATGCCAGGAAAAAAAAATGAAGGCAGCCACAACTGGATCCCCAGTCGGCGACATAGGGACTGCCATCAGTAGCTTCCCGTTTGGAAGAGCAGGCAACTGGGATTTGTTGCTTTTGAGAGACACTATCCACAGGCTGCTTAGTCTGGAGTTTTTTAATGCATGGACTATGTCACAATTGTAAAAGCAAAAAAACAAGAAGAACTTTACTTAGGATTTATCCAGGCAGGAGATCTTTGACTGAAGAAACTTTTTCTATGGAAGGAGTTTATATATGAATCGGTTCAAAAGAACAAAATCTCCCAAATAGCTGCATAGTGCGTCTATATGAAAGATGTCTGTAAGATGGGATGTTCTTCATCCTGTTTAGTATTTTTTTGTTGTATTTTTATTTCATACAATTATTACATGTAGGAATTTTCCCCTTATTCATCTTTTGGGGGTAGTGGGGAAGGGGTTGTTCTTCCATCTATTTATGTTGAGTGGCTATTTTTTCCCCCTTTTCATTGTTTTGGGGTATTTCTCTCGGGATGTCAAGCTTCTTAGGAGAAGAAATGTTATTCAAACATAATTAAATCAAGAAAGGGCTTAAGCTTCAGCACATAAGTAGCTTCCGCTAACTTTGCCCTAAATTATTGCTAATAGACTACAGTAGGGCTTGTATATACCTTCCTGCATCGGCAAATCATTCTGTGAGCAAGATGCAGCCCCGGGTGAAGGAAGCCTTGACCCCTGTTGCTTGCTGCAGGTTTAGCCCTTGTCGTTGGGGAGTCCCTTTGCCCATTCGTGAAGCCTGGTGGTCACTTATCTGCTCGGGAGCATCTAGTGCCTCTGTTTAAAATACTTATATGGCCCACATTACCCTAATTTCCAACTGCCTCCCCATGTTTAATACATGTATCCACACAGTACCACTGAGAGATGAGAAGTTCTGTTAGCCTCATGTTACAGATGAGCGCAGGAGGAAGAGTTGGGCCAGATCCTAAAAGGAAGTCAGGTCCCCGTCTCCTACTGAGTTCCTATCCGCAGTACCGGTGCCTCTGAAAATCTGCCTGTAAGTGATTTGGCCATGGTCACTCAGGAAGTATAACCACTTGCTCCTAGCAATCCTTGGTCACAGGCTTAGTGTCCCAACTACTATATATCTATATCTATACATCTAGATATATCTATATATCTAGATCTAGATATATAGATAGCTATATCTATATGCAGTCTGAAATTTCAGCATGTCTATTGTGTCCCTGCCACTGTGTTAGACTTTCATGCCTGTTCATACATGATGCTGCACGTCAGCAATGTTCACTGTCAACTTCCCATGACTTTGCTAGGAAAATATTAAACACTCACTTAATACTACAAACAGGTTTACATACTAGGTTATCCAGCTCAATGCAGTAAAGGGTCTAATAAATGCAATTACCAGTTTTCTGGTAACTAAGCAAGGCACTGATTTTTTTTTTTAAGTGATCCAACTCGATTGCATTGGCCTGTTTCTGAGCAACCAAATGCCACTGAGATCTTAATTGCTTTTCCTGAGTAATGGATAGTTTTTCTTTGGGTGATTCCCTTATATCAGTGAGGGTTCCTATTGCTCTTTGAGCAGTAGTGAAAAATCCCCAACCAGAAAAGGAACAAAGCACAACAACAGAAAGAGGCAGATCTCAAGTGCCTTGGCTCAGTTTTTCCTTCAAGTACATATTTATTTAGTTACAGCCTTATTTTTAGCAGCTCTGTTCCATACACTTTAAAAAGAAAAGCCTAGATGATTTAAACTCTAGCACCTGTGCTCAGAAAAAAAAAATCCCATTGGCTTCTCTGACCCTAGACAGAACAAAAATTAAAAAGTGGCCAGACTAACATGTGGCTAGGCTAACATCATCACAAGGTTTGGTAAGACATGCCACATCTCTAGGCCCTCTGTCTTTTATTATTATAACGATAATAATTATTATTATTAGCACGGCATTCAAGATTTCCGATCGTGTTGTCTCCATCCCCAGTAAAACAAGCCCGTTTCCCTTTCAGACGAACCCACTATGTCAGAAATGAGTCACTCCAATGGGATTTACAGCAACCTAAACGAAGCGTCTCCTGCTTTGGGGAGACAAGCTGGGACCAACGGCAGCTTCTCCTTGGAACACGCTGGCATCCCAGCTCAGGACCAGTACCACGACCTCCGATCCAACAGCCCCTATGGGATACCCCAGTCGCCTGCTTCTTTGCAGGCCTTACCAGGTCACCAGCCATTACTCTCAAGCTTGGTTTATCCAGACAACGGTTTGGGCATCATGGCTCAAGGAGGACAAGGTGTTCCCCAGCCAATGAGAGTCTTAGGTGGGAATGGACCCAGTTCAGATCTCTCCACGGGAAGCAGTGGAGGGTACCCAGATTTCCCAGCAAGTCCTGCCTCTTGGCTAGATGAAGTCGATCATGCCCAATTTTGATACAGGACCCAATACGAGGGGGGCGGGGCGGGGAGGGAAAGGACTTTGGGCTACCGAGCCTCATCTACTACTGGGGCAAAAAATAACTTCCGAGAGGTGAAGAAAAGATAGTTACTTGGAGAAAGAAAGGCAGATGTGCTCTCCGAAGGCGGCCCAGCAGTGGGTGAGTGAGAGACAATAGACTGAGGGATCACATCAGAAGGACTGGCTTCAAACCCATCCCAGCAAAACTGACCGTTGCATCTACCGAACGGCGAGACTCGTGCTTTACAGAGCTGATGAAGTGCGCTGCTTTCTGTTGTCAGCGCGTTCTCCGGAGCAAGGACTCACTTCATCACTTACCCGCGCCCACGGCTTTTGTTTAAAAAAATAATAATTTCAACCATTGTCAAAGAAGCGACAATATCTATATTTCTAGAGGAGAAAAAAGTTAAGGATGAATCACTTCAGAAATTCATGGTAGAAAACCATGTACCTATTTCTCTGTTCTTCAACAGGTAAAAAAAAAAAAAAAAAAAAAAAAAAAGCAGCACCACAATGTGATGTTTTTTGGTTGTTCTTTTGAATTTACATGATCTTTTCTAAATTTAAATGGTCCTGAATATGCCAATCATTTATTAACAGTCTCCTTTCCTTTGTATGACGAGGAGCATAAGTTAATTCTGCTTTTCACCTCTTTGATTTGTAGATTGCTAGCTTTATTCTTTCTCTATTAATGTTAAACTGTGAATAGATGTATTTATGACCAAATGATTACTCTTTCCCACTGGAGTCCAGAGTTTCTTTCCTGGACTCCAGAGCGCCGGTTGCTCTGGGTTGTGAAACTTCTGCTTTTCTTTACTGATTCATCTATGACGACTTTTTGCAAAGCTTTTCGAAGTTGCACCTACTGTCTTGTTGCCAAATCCCTTCTCAGACTGACTGATCCGCCAGCGTTTTGGTTAGGCTTGTTTGAGTTACAGCTGTTCTTCATACGTTGTTGGGAGCACACATTTGCGTTTGCCATCACCATCACATTTCTCCATCCCGGGCATTTGTGTCTTGCACAGCAGGTATCGTGAAAGCTGATTGTGAAGAAAGGCAAAACAATATGTATATTGTTACCTGAATATTGAATTAACTGTAGATTATGTGTATGTCCAGTGTCCTTTATTTATATCTTCTCTTTCTCTCTGATGATCAAATTCTTCAAGACTTCAAATAAATTTGTCAGCTAACGTTTAAATAAGTCTTTTTCTAAATTCACACTAAAAGCACCCATTTGAAGACCTGTAACCTTTCAAACTAACAGCAAAAGCTCCCAAAGCCTGAAAGCCTTGATTCAGCATGGCACTTAACTGCATGCTTCATTTTAAGCAGAGGAGCGGTCCCATTGACTTCAGAAGTGCTTTTCTGAATTGAAGCAGTGAAAAACGGTCTCGAGGGATATGGTGTTAAATAACTTCCAGCACTGACACCCATGTTCTGTGAAGTATGATTTTTCTTTTTCTTTTTTTAAATCTTAGCACTCAAGAAGCAGGAAGAAATGGCCAATAAGGCAGAGAATTTGTGGCGTCAAGCTGCTACGTGGCCACGTGTTCTGTCATTTCACATCTTGAGACACTAATGTTCAAGCATTAAGCATTGGAGGCTTCACGCTCGAATCATTAGTACAGTAAACAGAAAAAGAAAAGGGGGGATGATATGTAACCTGTTTTTCCCCCCAGATACATATATGAGCCTGAATTTTAAAATGTAGGTGTCTAAAGTTAGGTACCTAAACACAGATGGAAGTGCCTTTTATTTCAACTTCATTCAATGATCTCATATTAAGATTTGAGCCCAACAGGGACATTTTCAAAAGCGCAGATGGATATGAGCACCCAGCTCCCATGGCCGTCTGTGGTAGCTGGGGGCCTGGTAGTCCTGTGTGCACCTTTGAAAATCTTCCCCAGTCTGTTAAAAATTGAGTGCCTGAATTTATTCCTCCTGCTCCATACTTAAGTAAGCACGACTTCATGTTGATAGACGCTGCGGCTGTCTCTGACTTCTGTCACGATTGCAATGCTCAGCCTAACCGTCAGCTCCTGATGCAGCTGCAGACATAAGTACAGGGCGGTGGGGATTTCAACTTTAGCTTCAAGTCCCTGAAGCATGCGCTCTGGGATGGTAGCTGAACAGGGATGGTTGCTGAATTGGAAGCTGGTTGAGGGGGGGATATAGGGGGAGATGTGCAAGTCTCTGCAAATCATATACTAAGGGCCTTGCTTTCGGCAGCTACATTTGATACATCTCGGCTTTGATTTGTGTCCGGGATCCCTGTTTTAAACTTATGCATTTCTATCACTTGGGGAGGGTGAGTGTCGTCTTGTCTCGCTAGCCTTTCATTAAGATCATCGTCAATGTTGTCTTATGATTTTGGGGGGTGGGGTGGGAAGCATGAATGTTCAAAGTTACCTCTTCAAAGCTCTTGATTCCCTAGCCTAGCAGTAAACTGTTCGTTCACGTCGGGGTGGGCACTGCATTATCAAGAAGAGAACAGGTTTCATTTTGTAATCAATAGGTACTGGAAATATTTGTGTGGTGATTGGGACTCTGTCAAATGATTTCTATTGAATTCATACTTCCATAGTACTTGTTTCTCTAATTTTTTTCCCCTCCTCTTAAGGTGGTATTTGCTTTAAAAAAAAAAAAGAAAAAAGAAAGAACCACGTCATTTCTTTTCTCACAATAAACAAACTGTAAAAATAGCAATGCCTATGGGTGAGCAATACATCAATGCCCATAATCGTTCTAAGATTCATATTACAGCTGTGCAATATTACAGTAGCAGTCTCCCTCCCCCTCTCTTTTTTTTCTCACGTATAAAATATATTACAAGATTGTAGGGGTTCAAACAGGAGAAACCAAAATGCTTCCAGCACTTCCTCAACCTAAGCAAAGGCTTAATTCTGCAACCTTTGCTTGTTCAAATAGCTCATCTCTTTTGAGGATTCCCACTCGCAAACAATATATTACGAGGCAGGCAGAAATCTTACTTCCTGAGAGCAACGGGGTTATTATAGTAGTCTGGTTTGCAAGACTATGCCTAAATCAGGCTTTTTTTTTTTCTTCCAGGGAGCGCCGTGTATCATCAGATACCTGTGCTCCCGGATACTTTTGAAGTTAAGCCTGTATTTTTCAATCTACATTTGGGGTAAGATTGTCTGGGCTCTTAATTTGCTTTCTGCGTTAAGGTGACTGTTTTTTGTGAATGCTGGGCTTGGACAGGACACCTCCGACGACTGTGCCTGCGTAAAGCTCTCCTGCTTCTCTCATATTTCTACAAGTCAGTGACTTACATTTTAGCCGATGCTTTCAGTGTCTTTGGCGGCCCAGGGATTCCATTAATATAAATGCTTTCTTCCCATTAAAAAAAAAAATCAATTTTAAAGAAGCAAATAAAATTAACAGTATGCAATTGATTTACAGGTTGTGGGGGTGGAAAAGGAACAGAATTAGGAATGGGAGTTTCCATTATTCAGTTTTCGGGTGAGTTTTATAACCTCATAATCCATAGCATTTTTCAAGGAGGAAAGCTTTTATCTGATTTTTTTTTTAATGACATCCACAGCTTCTGTAGATATGTGTGACCTGAGCTTGTGTTCCTTGCACAAGAGGAGTCCCTGAGAGTTACGGATGTGTAAAGCAGACTGCTTTGCACTCATCTTTTCCTTCTTCTGATGAAGGATGTTTTGCACTCAAAACTTGTCTAACCCTATCCCAACCAAACCACTGGTCCGATAAAAGACAGCACCCTAGGAAATCCTTGCTTCTAAATACCAAGTCACATTTTCTGTACTCGGTCTTCTGGGAAAATTGCACATATGTTATTACAACAATATACCGTCTTATTGTCACATATTTTGTAGGCTGGAGTCAGCTCCAGTCCATAATCTATTTATTCCAGCTGGAAGGACTAGAATAGCATGACCCTCCATCTCCAAGGAACACGTGGGTAACACTATGCCTGTGAATCCATGTGGAAAACAACCAAAGAAAACCGGTGAGCGACGTGTTAGAAGCGCTGCTAATCCACCTAGATCTCCCAGCAAGTTGTTTCCAGTGGAGTTAAATCTAGAAGAACGAACTCAACGCAAACAAGAGCAGCCCAAACCATCCGTCAGCTTGGAAACGTGAACTCTGCGCAGACGATCTGGAGGAGCAGTAGGTCGCCAGGATGGTTTTCCTGGAGGGTTTTCTTATCGCCCAATGCAGAGCTGGAAGCAAAGTCCAGACCTCTGGGTGAACACACATATTGAATCCCAGGTTCATTTCCCAATTAGCCAATTTTTCCAGGTAGAAGATTTGGGGGTGTTAATGTCTTTATCGCTAGAATATTGTTCAATCCTGTCCATAGCGCTGAGTCCACTGGATTTATTCATTCAGAATCACCACTGGCCACAGCAGAAGTGTCTAGGGGAAAGCAGCACAGAATTGGGTCTATCATTTGGATTTTAATAGACTCTCCAGCTCCTTGAGAGAGCCTGAGTTATAATGCTTTTATGTTCAGATCCAGGACATTATTGAGAGTGATCCAGACAGGAAACAGGCTTGGGATAACACTGAGACAAAGCAGCGTAAGATATATAGTTCTGTGACAGCATCGTCATTTAAGGAGCATTTTAAATTCCACCTCAAGCTATACCACACACGGCAGATCGTGTTTGGAGCCGGAATGGTTTTTGTTCAGATCTTGTACAGCTCCATGCACATCCAGTGCTTAACAAATGTCCCAGAACTAGTGGGAACTTGCAGCCACATATGCTCCAAACATCCCATAATAATGCCTGGTTCATTTTTTTTTTTTTTTAGATGCTCAAGCTTCACTGAAGAGGCGTTTATTCTGCATGTATCTAAATTGGATAATGTCTCAGTTAAAGACTAGATGGGAGCACAGGTTAAATATGCTGACTGAAAAGGTCAGGAGAACTGCAGGTACCTGGGGGCTGTTCCTTGTGAGTCAAAGTCAAAAGGAGTTT